CCTAAAATAAAAGTTTTATTCAATTACTGTATTTTGATAGACTAGAATATTGCACACGGGTAGGAGATAATGGATTGAAGAGTGTCCTTGAAGCAGAGGAGCTCAGACCTTCTTTCTTACACATTCCCAGGAGACAGTTCGTTTCCGACACCATCAAGACTTCAGAAGGCTGGCAAGGACTATGAGCCAGCCCTATGTGGTATAACAAATCAGTGCATGAACCAGCTAACCATGTAACTGGCGAGAGGGAAAAATGAAATCATTTCTACTTAAAATCTCTCCATGTCATCTTTTAACCTATTTAGGGTGATCGGCTCAGCTGGCTTTATGGCAACCCAGCCACGTGTATCGGAAGGACTCACTAGAAGCCATCATCATAGTTAGTAAATCTGTTTCAGCTCTCTGCAAGCTCTACTTGCTTAGCTTGATCTGTGCATCTCTCTTAGTGCCCCCAAATTAGGGAAAGAGCTGGAAGAGCTCTTAGGAGACATAGGAGAAAGAGTGCGAGACCTACTAGGCAGAAATGCACAAACACTACACTGAGCCAGAAAAAAAAAAATAAGCTAATAGGTATTTTCACAGCCTGATACACTTAAGCAAGAGGGAAATCAAGGCTCATTTAAAAAATGCTCACTTTCCCATAACTGCCTATAACTTTCTTTGTGCGCTGATAGCGTGTTCTTACATTCCTTTGTGTTTTGGATGTTGGAATAGTCATCAACATATTGTGCGCTGATAGCATGTTCTTACATTCGTTTGTGTTTTGGATGTTGGAATAGGCATCAACATAGGCTAATTTTGATACTTACGATCACTTAATCCTAAAGTCTTCTGGAAAGAGGGCATGGCTAACAAAATCAAAGAAAACAGAATAAAGTTGACTTGTGTATGTGTGTGTGTGTGTGTGTGTGTGTGTGTGTCTGTAGAGAGAGAGAGAGAGGTTTAGAATCAAAAAGCAAATATACATTTGTGTACCCCAAGATCAAAACCTTACTAGTTAAATATTGATATGAGAATCTGTCACCTAATGGCAAAGACTCCTTAAATTTCAAATCTTAAAAATGTCTCCTCCAATCATTGTGGATTCCTTGCAATCATGTGCTGAGTGCAAACACTCCCACAAAGACCTCTGGGAAATGCTCTTTGGCAGCAGATCTGGGAAATGATGACAAAAAAGCATACACTCGCACAAGTTGTGTAAAAGGATGGTTATGCTACTTTTGGAACATTTAATAGTTGTTTGCATTTATTTACACACATACGTGGCATCACCATATTCATATAAATTGTTTCTGTTAAAAGCCTGAGGAAGTGAAAGGGAGAAGGAGGAGAGAAAGGAACCAGGGAGAAAGAAATGAGAAGGGCAAAATCAGCAGCCCCTCATACCCCAAAACATTTCAAAAACTATCTCTTCTTTCGGGAGGACTTCAAATTTTCCAAACCTCATCAAAGGAAGGGAGATAATTCTTGTTTGGAGAGGACTTACTTTATGATCATGCCTTTTCATTATTTCCCCACTTTTCAGCACAGGAGTGAAGAAAGGACAGGGGGCGATACCCAGCTTTGGGAGCAAGGCGGGCCTGAGGTTGGGCCGCTCCACATCCAGGTCACAGTCAATGTTGTCCCCACTGCATTTTCCACCTGGAGTTCCCCTGCAGTGCTGAAATGCATTGCACTGCACGTGACGGCTTTTTCTGGACATGGTATGAGTGATTTATGAGAGAGGAGCAGAAACGGGTGAGTCCTGCAATACGCAGCGTCTTCACACTGCCTGCCCCTGACTACGACGAAGCGAGGGAAATTTGCAGCACTCTGAGAAGGCTCTCGGTCATGCTGCAGCACACGCAATGCTCCGTGCTTTGGCCATACATAGATTCAGGTCCTCTGGAAAAGTTAGCAAATCGCTGTTTTCTTCTTATGAAAGGAGTCATTCACTTCAGTGGGGGTTTGGTGGGCCCTGGGCCCCAGGAAGTAGGCTGGTACGCTAGGCAGCAAGTTCCTGTTTCCGTTCTGAACTAGGCTAGCACTTGTCCAGTGGAAGTGCCCGGTATTTGCACCTTTAAATCCTTTGCTCAGGCTTTTAATGATTACAAAACCCCCCAAAAATTCATTTACAAATTCGTATTGTTTCCCTCTTCTCTCAGTACTGGGGCAGGGGCAGCTTTTCCACTTTCCTCCCCTTGTACTGACAGCGGGGCTTGACAATATCAACTCGGTAAGAAACCCAAGAATTTCCAAGCACTATTTTATTCACTCATTAAGGAACAAAGCTCCCCTTTCCAAGATGAATAGAGTTGAGGTCTAGACTGTGAAGGCCTGAAGAAGTAAAGCTAGGCGCGGCAGAGCTGTCCTTTGAAGGAGGTCATGGTGAAATAGTGCAGAGGCAAGAGTGGCTGCAGCTGTTTGCTTGTGATGATGAATGAGATAAAGGATATTATTATGGGCTCAATTGTCCTCTGCCCCCAAATTAATATGTTAAAGTCCTAACCCCCAGTGCCTCAGAAGGTGAGTGTATTTGGAGACAGGGGCTTGAAAGAAGTGGTTAAGATAAAATGGAGCCATACAAGTGGACCCTAATTCAATATGGTTGATATCCTTATAAGAGGAGATGGGGACACAGACCCACGCAGACTGAGGGGTGACTACGTGAAGACACCATGAGAAGACAGCCGTCTACATGCCAAGGAAAGAGGGCTCAGAAGAATCCAAACATGCCCGCCACTTGAACTTCTAGTCTCCAGAACTGTGGGAAAAGAAATTTCTATTGTTTAAGGTACCCAGACTGTGGCAGTTTGTTACAGCAGACCTAGGAACTAATACAGATTTGAAAGTTTGGGTAATTTATGAAGTAATATACAAATGCTAGTTATTGCCATTATTATTGTATTATTGTGTTATCTTAGAATAATATTGTTATTCTAAAAAGAAGAGTGAGGAGAAGAGGTACCATGAAGGAGGTGGGCAGCAAAAACCAGCTCGGATGTTGAGAAACAACAGAGTTCAGTAAACATGAATTGGATCTAACCAATTCGTGGGTTACGGTTAGGGTTACAGTTAGTCCACATGATAAGGAAGATGTTGAAAGAACTTGAGAAGCTTGAGGGGAACAATGACAATTACTCCTTATTCGGTGTGGTGAGTGGGGATGGGAGAGAGGGGAGTGTGCGAAGTTTTCATAAAAAGAAAGTGAGATTTAAGCTTCAAAAAAGGAGACTTTGCCATGTAGAGGAGGTGAGGACAGAGGACAAACGAGTTCAGGGGCACGGGTACACGAAAGTGGGCCATGCTGCTGGGAAAAGCACACCCTGCGATGGCAGGACGTGAAACACGCAGGAGCTGCTGGGAGGAGTGGCTGGTGGTGTTTTGTGGGAGCCCAGAACGCTGTGCCGAGGGACTTGGACTTGACCAGACAGGCAGTCAAGAAAGAAAGTATATTATTTTTTTATCCTCTCACTAGTTCTTTATTTTCTGCTTTATATCTATTTTTCCCACTTTCGTCTCCACTCCCTTACCCAGGCTCCAGACACCTTCTCTCTCCCGGTCTACCAGGTTCCATCAGCCAAACAGTCCCGTAAAGGTCATCTTTTCTGAAGATCTAACTGATTTTCTATCGCCAAACGCCCCCCACCAAAGGTAATCGGTAGCCTGTGTGTCCTAGACTCTGGACAAGATTTTTCACCAATGTGATGGATCTTTTAGGGAAAGTCATGTTCGCAATTTGTTAAGACTGACAATAACGGTCACTCACAGAGGTCTTGTCAGCGAAAGTGTGTTGATTGGGTGAGTCAAATGTGTCTAGAAGTTGATGTATACCTTGTTCTCTGGTCTGGGCCTTCTCTCTCTCTCTCTCTCTCTCTCTCTCTCTCTCTGCATCTCAATTAAAATAACATCCATCAATGATGGAACACAGCCAACAGTTAAATACAAGTTGCGAGATTAATTGGAAATGTATGCCATTCCTTGGAGAAGTTTCAAGAGGAAACTTTATTTATTTATTTATGTTTGTTTTTTTATTTGCATAAATCTATATAAATAAAATAGTTTAAACTTATATAAATAAAATCATTCATACAAGTTGTATTTGTATAAATTGTAGAAATGTATGGGGTACAACTGCAATTTTGTTATATGCTTAGATCCCATAGTCTGAGGTCCCCAATCGCCAGGTCACAGGTGAGTACTGGTCCAGTCCGTGGCCGCTTATGAACCGGGCCTCACAGCAGGAGGTGAGTGGCAGGCTAGCAAGCTTCATCTGTATGTACAGCCACCCCCCCCCATCACTTGCATCATCACATAAATTCTGCCTCCTGTCAGATCAGCTGCAGCATTAAATTCTCACAGGAGCTCAAACCCTACAATAAACTGTGGGTGTGAGGGATCTAGGTCATGTGCCCCTTATGAGAATCTAATGCCTGATGATCTGAGGTGGAGCTGAGGCGGTGATGCTAGCGCTGGGGAGCAGCTGCAAATACAGATTTTCATTAGCAGAGAGGTTTGACTGCACAATAAATGTAATGCGCTTGAATCGTCCCTAAACCTTCCCCCACACTATGGTCCATGGAATAATTGTCTTCCATGAAACCAGTCCCTGGTGCCAAAAAGGTTGGGGACTGCTGGCATAGTGGTGAAGTCAGGGATTTTAGAGTATCCATCACCCAAATAACATACTGTACATATTAACTGATTTCTCATCACCCATCCCCTCCCACACCCTCACCCTTCCGAGGGCCCCTGTCTGTCATTCTGCTCTCTACGTACATGCGTACACATTATTTAGCTCCCACTTATAAATGAGAACGTGCAGTATTTGACTTTCAGTTGCTGAGTTGTTTTACTTAATGGCCTCTAGTTTCATCCATGTTGCTGCAAAAGACATGATTTCATTCTTTTTTTATGGCTGGATAATATTCCATTGTGTATATATACTATATTTTCTTTATCCAGTGAGAAATGTTTATTGATTCATGTTTATTTATCACAGGGAATAATGAAAGCCACCTTCATCCTTTATGCGAAATAAACCCTCATCACATCTACTCAAATAGCTCCACAGGACCTTGGGACTGTGGTGGGGCAGCTAAAGGACACTGTGGAGTACGCACCTGAACAATTATACGGTGAAGTAATGGGCTAAATGTCTAAAAAGGCAGAAATAGTCTCATTGCCACATTTCCTGGTCCTGTGTACCAACTTGTAAATTAGAAGTAAATATAAATGCCTCTGATCTCTAGCTGTATTTTCAGTACACTAGTAGAAAGCTTCCATTTTGGCTAAGAGTTAGTTTTTATGTTCTCAGAATTCATTCTTCTAACAAATATAAAAAAAACATCTATTTTAGAATTTTAGCTATAGAGGGCAATTCTTGGAGAAGCAGTATAAATGAAGTGGTTAGGAATAAGAGCTCTGGTGTCAGATGACCCAGGTTCAAGTCCTGGTTCTATAGTTTATAATGAACTTACCTAAGTCATTTTAATTTCCTTGTGCCTTAGAGAATCACCATGAAGATTAAATGAGATAATACAGGCAAAATGTATGCATAGCACAATAGTGGGTGAAAGTAACAATGCACTATATAGACAAAAACATTCTCTACTAAATTCTGGGCCTCAAATAGATTTTGAAATCTTTAGTATACATATGGCTCTTTCCACATGGATGACGTGAGTTGACAGGGAAGCCATACAGAATGCTGGATGTGACTTTCATCTATAATGCAACTACAGCTCCTCTGATCAGTGGGCAAGAAATGATAATGCTCATGCAATTGATCAACCACAATACCAGAAAAATCAGTCCATTTACAAGTTTCAACAAGTGGCTCAGAAGAAGCTGATTTTATACAGCTTTAGCAAGGAGCTAAAAGGTCAGGGAGTTTGTGTTGACAGAGAATACTTTTGAACCATTGAAGTGAAACAGATGTTTATGCCTAGGTTGAAAGTTTTATATTGGGTGTTACTGTTTAACAGAGGGGCTGCACAATACAGTGTTAAAATCCTTAGTGCAGCTTTGCACCAGTGAGACAAAGACATTTCAGAACGGTGCTGAGAACAGTTAAAAAGAAGCGCTCACTCCTCAAGCAGATTGGTAGAGTTCTTTCTTGTTGATCTAAGTGCCAAGCCAGCATGCCACATGGATAATTTCTCCCCTGAGTACATGGGCCACGGGTACCAGAACCAGCGCAGGTGCCACCTTGTTCATCTGTGCTTCCAGCAACGCCTGGAACTCTAAGATGGCAAAACAGAAAAATGATGAGTTTTCACTGCTGACCTTGCATGGAGCAGGTGCATAATCAATAGTTGTTGAATAAACGATGCACCACTGCAAAGTTGATTTCTCTGGGGCTGAGATGGGGGTAAAGACTCTTGTATCTTGTAGGGGTCTCACACCCAGCACCCGTTGGGTCTGCTCCTGTGGTATGTTTTGCCTGAGGAGTTTTTCATGATCACATCAAATGGAACCAATGTTAAAATATTTGTCAGGTCCCCAATGTTTCTAGTTTTTCATCTCAGTGTAAATTCTACTTGTAACGTGACTGAAATAAAAATGGCTTTCTCTAGATCTGGGAATGATATTCAGGTTAAGGTTATTTAAAATAAAACAAAAGGAACACAACTCTGAAGGAATATTTAAGACAAATGATGACAAAAAGCAACAATATCAGAAGACACTTGCCTTAATTTGATGATGTTAATCAGAGAGGTGAAGCAGGAAATACTATAGGTTATAAGCATGGGGCCAGGGGAAAATATTAAGTATATAATTTTATTAATAAATAATAAAAGCACAAGAAGAAAACAAAATTCTTTTCACAATATCATCTCAACTTCAATAAACATTTCTCATATGGAAGAATTTCCTCTCTAAACTGAGAAATTCTCATGTAACTAAAGCTGTTACAAAGTTGCCACATTAGACTGATGACCTTTATTTATCATTGGATAATTTAATTTTAAATTGTCAAGAAATGGAACTGATATTCATAAAATTTGCCAAGAGAAAAACTGTTTGATACACACTTGACAATCTGAAAAATACCACAGCTTAAAAAAAAAAGAGAAAGAAAAAAACTTCTATTGCATTATCCAAAGGCAAAGCAAGCACTTCAATATTCTTTTTCAAAGCATTCCCCCCACCATGATTTCAAGATTAAACAAACAGCTCAGCCACTTTTGTTGAATTTATGATACCTTTGCTTTAAATATCTTTTAGAGTAATTTTATCAGAGAAGATTTTTTTTAGATGAATCTTGCCCCAACAAAGGGTTAATGTATAGCTAATCTCTTATTGTACTGACATCTAGTGATATACTCACAATGATGCCCAATCTCCAATCATTAATTAAGAATATGGAAGAAACAATCTTTAACTGGGTAAAACTTATAATGCATAGGAATTAAATATTTTGAATATGTGTGGATTAAGAAGAATATCCATTTCTAAATTTATTCCACATTGAAATATTGACACTAGAGGCAAATATTGACAGAGGTAGGGCTGATCAATATTGAACCCTAAGGGTCAAAGGACTTCATGTTTGGAGCAATAAGCAACTTAGTTTAGGTATTACAGTGTTTCGGTAAAGTAACAATTATTAAGGGTCAGGCAAGGTTTCTATTATAAACTCTGATTTGAGGAGGCTTGCATAGTTCTAGAGTCTCCAAAGGCATGAGATAGTATGATTAAGCAAGATGATGGCTTGGAAATAAATAAAGAGAATGTGGGTCATTAAACTCAGATTTGAGAAATTAAATTATTTTTATTCTCCAAATTCAAAACCTATCTCTTCTTACCATCTCCACAGACCTTTTATGAAATCTCTAAAAACTCAGGAAGATTTAGATGAGAGGTAAATCTCATTTAAACTTTTAAATAGCTTGAAATCTTTTCTTTGGAATATTATCTAGCACATTCAAGTAGGCTATAAATTATAAATACTACCAAAAGAAGTCTGCATAATTCAACCAGATATAGTTCAATGAAACACCCTCTACACCTTCACTTAGTCCTATGCAGTGTTAGCATCACATGGAAATCATGTTCTTCACTCGAACATACTTGAGCATTTTGTCCTACTGAATTGCTTAAAGTGGGTTGTTTCAGAAAACCTCACTGTTTATTTAACTAAGAAATAATGTTTTAATTATTTACTTTAAAATTTATGTTGGACACATTGTGATTTTTCTTCAAAGAAATAAAAACCTAAACAATAAAGCGAATGCAATATATACCAAATATTTTATAATAAAATAAGAATAGGCAATTACATAGAAGTATGTGTTGCCTGGCTTAGAACTCAACAATATATTTCATTTCCTTATTATTTTTTGAAAAATTAACAAGAAAAAATATAAGATTATAGACTTTGGGTTTAAGGGAAGGATGGTATACCTGAGCACAGAAGAGGGGGCCTTAAACTATTAACTCGGTATTTCTACCTATACTGGGCCAAAATAAATAAAACTTCTGAGTCTTCAAGTCCTTACTTGGGCAGACACCAAGTGCTTTGTCCTCTTGTGACCTTTCTTCTTGAATTTAGAATGTATAGATACATTCAAACAAGAGAAGTGGGCATTGATCAGTCAGGGAAGAAGCCGTGCATTTTCAGTTTCCATTACATTAAACAAAATACTCATTAGTGCTTGGCATTTTCCCAAGCAGACACAATCTAGGTGTCCGCTGAGGCCTCATTGTACAGTTAAGAAGTTTAAAAAGACTTTCTAGACATCAGCTAGGGACAATTAAGGGATGGGTAAAACTACTCCAGGGTAAGAAGGCTAGAATTACTGGAAACAAACACACATAGAAAAATCAACTTCAAACTAGACAAACTATCTTTACCTTTAAGATCAGTTAGATAGTCCAGGAGAAAAAGACTAAAGATCCCATCATTACCCACTGTGATGAAATCACAGTGTACTTTACTATGGGAGTACTCAGTCATATTAAAAACAAACCATGTCTAGATACACAGTAGAAAAAAATAATTTCATAGAAACCTGTCATCACAATATACTTGTTCCTGTCAATTACCCAAAAAGGAAAGTAAGTGCTACTGTTACTAACAGGTCATAATAATGTAAGTTAGCTCTGAAATCCATATCCATTGAAACTGTTGAAACATGTTGTATTGCTAAACATCCACCTCAGAATATTCTAGACCACCTTCTAGAAAATATTACTGAGAGCAACTACTGCATGCAGATCAGACAGACCTATAAACTGTTTTTCCCAAATGTTTCCTTTCTTCTTCATTTTTTACCTTTTCCTGCATCCCCCTCTTTCTCCCATCCATCCATCTTACCCATCCAGATAGACATTAGCTATCTGCCTGGCACGGTGCCAAGTGCAGGGGCTCTGAGAGTGAGCAACACAGGCAGGGCTTAGGTGTAAATGAGGGTATGGGCTAGCACATGAAGCAAAAGCTTCTATGTGATCTTTGTTGCTGCCAGTATTAAAACAACTATATCTGAGAAATCTTAATTCAAGACCAGTACCATGAGTTAAACTTCAAAAATAATTCATGTTACCTGTTCCTCACCATCTGGGTAGGAGAATGGAAAGCAAAGCTTTTCATCTCAAAACTTCTCTCATTTTAAGGAGGCATTTGTCTTTCAACTTTGGCTGATGTAATCTAATTTACCTTCTAGTTCGAGAAACAAATGTTAAATATAAATTCCTTCTTAAAGGGATGCTGTATAATCTACTCAGAAGGAATGTATGAAAGAATAGGTAAAAGGAAAGAACATATGCTTAACATGGAACATGAAAACCTCCTTGAGGTTGCCACAATATACTTTCCCTGCGTTTTAACTCAAAGACACCATTCTATCAGTATGTAACACAGATCTTTAAATCCCAGAGCTAATAATGCTTCCCAGCTACAGCTGGATGCATCTGACAAGCAGCATGTACTAGGAAACCTCACAGGGGATAAGGTTCCTAACAGTCAACTAAGAGTTCAAATCCCTAAAGAGGTGCCCCTGGTGTGCAGAGCACTTAACCCTTCGACCAGTACCAACATGACTATTCACAAATTATTGATGTCCCTAAATCCCTGGCAGATTGCAGACAGTTTTTGTATCCATTGAAGCTCAAGCATATGGCCACTAATGGGATAGATTTTTAAAAAACACATACACACATTCAGTCTTTGCTACATGAATGTAAAGCCACTGAAATGCTAGAAGGTGATTGAACTGGACGGAACACTGTTAAATACATGCTTGGTCTCATGTTATGGATCATTTCCATTGACATATATCTGCATCCTCAGTACAGTTTAATTAAAGCTGTCTGGAACAAGTCTGCCCGCTAAATGATCGGCAGTGCAAAATGAAAAGGTGAAACCTGAGGAGGCTCTGGGCCTTTTCTATAAAGCATTCAAATGATTGTCTCTGTGGTTAATAACACCAGCAGGGAAGAAATTCATTTTCAAAATTAGCCAGCCATTATACTTTTCTGGACAAACAAAAAAAGACAAATCTTCTTTTGATGTCATCTTGAAATACCAGAAGCTGAGATAGGTAATAACCAGATCTTAAGAACTCAAATTGGACCATGTTCTTGTCCAAAATAGACATACTTTTTGAGTTCCAAAACAGTAAATAATATAGTAAGCTTTCTTATTAGTGATTTGTTTTGTAAAATATAACTCCCAAATTGAACTATTCAATTTTGCAACTCGGTGGCAAGTACATCATCTATTTAATTTGATTTTATAGCATATAGAATAATAGTATGGCAAAGAGATAGTTTAAAACAATTAAAATGTTTACTGAATACCTTGATGTTTCAACACTTGTAAAGTGCTAGGGAAACAAAAAAAACAAAATATGGATTCAGGGCATAAGAAATGTGGGATATAGTTAAGAGACTGAATTTTAAATTACATAATTATACCTAGTTCTTTTCTATGGCATTTCTCCCCTTTATTATGATTTTTTTAATTAAGATATATAAATTAAATTATATTTGTTCTTTAATATTAGAATTAATTGTACTTTTTAAAAGTATCCAAAGGACTGTTTCATGTTTAAATATTTCATTCATTGGCTTCTCCACATAAATCCATCAGTTATGGCATAAGCTTTTCCTCTTCATTTAATATTCATTTGATACCTACTTCATAGGACATTGAGTTAGTTATACTTTGTGCCTAATACTCACCTTCCTCAAAACAAAAACTGTCTCTTTCTGTCCATTATAACATGTTCATCCACGTTGG